TACTCTTTGAAAGCCTATTTTTCTTCTCTGAAGATTCTTTCAGAATCATTCATTTCTAATTTTTTTTTTTTTGATAGAATGAGGAACTCTAGTTTGAACTCTTTCTATCTTTGGGCAGTTTGTCTTGTTTGCCTGGCCTGCCTTTTGCATGTGCTCCTTCCCACTGTGTGAGTGTGTCTGTGCATGCACATTTTACGCATAATTCCTGTGTGGGCTTCCCTCTGGGAGGTATAACTTGAAGCCCATGGATTATACTCATAGATCAACAAGTGCTCCAAAATCCACAGCCTTCACTACATTGGTGATCTTAGAACTCAATCTGGCCAGAATAATAGAGAATTTCTCTGACCCTATTTGGACACATTGCCTGTGATTTTTATCCAGCGATCAGCCTAGTGTCATCTTGTGTAACACCAACTCTGTGGCAATTTGGTAATTGTTGCTTCTCTTCTCTCCTTTGCCCTACCTGAGCTACCTCAGACCCTCTAGGCTAAGTGTCTGGGAATTAGACACTGAAGTGACTCCATCTTTTTCCTTCTCTGGGTACTGTAGAGAGATGCGAGGTGCCAGCTTTAATGAGATAAGACAATCATGTATAATTGGATTGTTCTTAAGCCAATTAAGAGTACATATGTAAGGATAATTAAAATGGAATTCAATATCCTCTGTGGCAACAGATTTAGTTCATCTTCCCTGTCTTTGTTCCAAAGTTATAAAACATATTTTTGCTTAGGTGGACATCTTAGGTTTGTCATAAAAGACTATGTGCCTATCTGAAGCTTCTTTTTTCAATGATCTTCTTAAAGATTTTGAACTAAGCTAAACAGTAGCAGCTTAAGTCCTGTCACTCACATTGCACCTAGCATGTGTTTCAAAAGTAGGAAAAAAATAAGTTTTACATTTTTCTCAAATTGCCAACATTTGCCCCCCAAACAGAATCACTCTTAACAGATAACCTCAACTCCTTTATATGACAATATTTAGGCCATCTAGTAAAGATTAAGCAAATTTATTTCTGTATTTCTGTATTTTTATTCTGTAATTTTTAAAAAAACATTTTGCCCCAGGGTTTGCCTTTGCCTCTTCAACCGAGAAAAGAAGCTTCTTTCTAATTCTTCTCTCCCTGTGGTCTAAGTTTTATATAGAGAAATATTTCAAACATAAAATAGTATAGATGCTAATAAAACAGATGCCTATATAGATAGCCATCACTTTATATACTTTCATGTGTTTATAAGTAAGACTGGCCAGTAAATTTTCTCTCTCGTACTGTTATTTTTTGGTCCTTATTTTGGAGTAAAGGTTATATTAACTTTATAAAGTAGATTGAAGAGCTATCTATCTTGACCTATTTCCTGGAAGGTATAAAATGAAGTAGTGGGAAAGTTCTAGAGAGTAGGTTAAGAAAGAAAGTGGTCCCCCACCCCACATAAAATTCACCTTTGTAATTTGTGCTGTGGGGGGGGGAGGAAGGTTGGGGGGCTATTGTCTACTGATCAGTTTTTTTAAAAAGTTTTTACAAATTTATTCAAGTTTTTTAAGTTAAATTAAAAAATATATGAACTTAAGATAAATTATTTGTCAAGATATTGGTAAAAGGCATAGTATTATATTAAGCTTTGAAAAATCTATTTTTAATTATAATTAACTGTCTTTTAAATCTGTACCACATCGAGTATTATGCCATTCCCTTCATTCCTCTTCATGTTTATTTATGCCATCTCTTGCCAGAAATGTCTATTTTATTAGTTTAATAAAAAAGCATTTTTTAAATTGTTGATGGTTGTCATTGTTCTTTGCTATTTCATGAATGTCTGCTCTTTTTCTTACAGTCTTTCTTTCCTTCTTGAATTTTTACTCTTTATTAACTTCATGATTTATACATTTAACCCTTGAATTTTCAATCTTTTTTTCAATCTCTAATATGTACAATTTGTCATTAAAGCCAGTTGAGCAGCAATTTACAAATTATGGCATTATCATTTAGAATCCAAATATTTTGTGATTTCCATTACAAATGTTTTTTCTCTAACTTGTGAAGCACTCACAAGTGTGCTTTTTAATTTCCAAATCTATAATGGATGTGTGGGAAATTGGAGAGTTGCTATCTTTGTATTATGATACCTAATTTAATTTCTTTTTGGACAGAGAGATTAATTTTTATGTTATTGTTTAATATTTGTTGAGACTTACTGGTTAGTTGTGTGTGTGTGTGTGTGTGTGTGTGTGTGTGTGTGTGTGTGTGTTTCCCTTTTGATTACTGTTTCTTGCCTGCTGTTGGGAAAAAAATTACTTTCTCTAATGGCTCAGTAGTGTCCTATGTTATATTCATTGGATCAAAATTGATTACTGAGTTATTAAAGTCCTCTATAGTCTTAAGACAGTTTTTTGTCTGATCTATCAGTTTTTTGGTAATATATGTTAATACTCCTAGCATTGTGTTATGTTTTCAAATTCTCTCTGTTTTATGTTTTTGAGACTATGCTATTTAAATAGATGTAGGTTCAAGGTTATTATATATTCCCTGAGAATTGTTTCTTATACACTTAAGAAATGACCTTTCTCATCCCCAACAATGTTTTTAGCTTTGTTTATCTTGTCTGATGTTAGTATTGTGGTATTGTTGTTGTAGTTGTTTTGAATCTCTGTTTAGTAGTTCTTAGCTTACCTAGTAATTATTATAATTTCCAAGTATATCCCTTGTAAGCAGCATGTAACTAGATTGTATTACTTTTTAAATCTAATAACAAAATTCAGTCACATTTATCATGATGGAGTTGGATTTAGTTTTGTATTTTTAAGTTTTTCCCTTTTATGCCTTTCATGTGATTGATTGGGTTTTCCTTCCATTTCCATCTCTTTATTTGGAAGCTATAATTCTTTTACTTTTCTTCCAATAGCTTTACAGTTTTAACAAAATAGCTACAAAGTTTTAACAAAATAAAAACAAATTCGTGTCTCTCATATTCGCCAAAAATGCCAGGGTTTTATAGTGCTTTCATTTCAATTAAATCTTCCCATTTTGGATACAGTTATTGTCAAGTATTTTATTTTATTTCCACTTTATTTTATCCCTCATTAGTTATTAGTATTATTTCTTACAGTTAATGTTTGGAGTTACTCATTTCTGTTAGTCTTCTAGTTTATCGCTGTTTCTGTAACCCTCTCATTTTTTCCTTGTTATAATTTCTTTATTTGTTCAGAACATCTAGTAGTTAATCTCAGCAAGATGCTCCTAAGGGATAGAGTTTCAATTTTGGATACCAAAAATGTTGTTATCATTGCCATCCTTGCCATTTTTGAGAGACCTAGTTATGAATTAAATTCTGTTTTGACACTGAATTTCTCATGGCCCTTTGATGATATTCCACTCTTGTCTTTATTTATTGATTTATTGATGTTATTTCTATCCATGTTATTGTCATAACTTTGAGATAAATCTGTCTTTTGTTCAAAATGGTTTTAAGATGTTCTTTTTATTTTTGATGTTTGGAGATTTAAACACACCAGATGGGAGAATGAATATTTATCTTTCTTGAGATTTGTTGTGTAGCTTTAGCTGGGAACGCTTATCATTATTTCAATTCTAAAAAATATTTCCACCATTAGCTCTTTAAATATTGCCATTCTGCTATCCTCTGTGGGGTTTTTAATCTGAAACTCCTATAAATATGCATTTTGACTGCTTATTACATTCCCTGTATTTCTTCCCATCCTGTTTTGACTCATTATTTTTTCACTGCATTCTAGATATTTTCCTCATGTCTGTATTTTAATGATTCAATAATTCTTTCCTCAGCTTTCTTCATGTCTATATTTTAATTATTCAATATTTCTTTCCTCACCTATGTCCACTGAATATTTTTTTTAATTTCTAAAAATTGAATTTTCATTTTTAGAAGTTCCATCTGATTCTGTTTAAAAATCTGACTATTCTTTTGTAATAGTGTCCTGTTTTCTGATAATTTTTAAAAGTTTATTCTTTTGTCTTTAATTATTTAAAATAAAGGTAGGCAAACTTTTTCTGTCAAGGGCCAGAGAGTAAATACTGTAGGTTTTTCAGGCCCTGTAATTTCTATCACAGCTCTTCAACTCTGCAGTATAGTGCAAAAACAGACCTAGGCAATATATAAACAATTGTGCATGGCAATGTTCCTGTGAAACTTTATTTACCACAGCAGGCATTGCACTGTTTATAGCTCCTAGGCCATAATTTGCTGACCTCTGACTTGAAGCATACTATTTATAAACATATCAAAGTGGTTCTCTCTGCTCAAGTAACTGACAGTGACAATTCTGCTATTTAATGTATCAGGTGACTGTCCCTTACGGTGTCGTATTTTCTTGTGGGTTATGATTTTAAGTTGTGAGCTCTACATACAGCCTTCTGTTGGAGGCTGGTGTGCCTTGAGTTGTGGAATTAGTCTTCAAAGCATATTGCATTTCAGATCTTGCAGCTAATATTTTTATAAAGAGTTGCTTTTTAAATTATCACCCCCAGAAATACCCTGAATAGGGATCTTCTGAAATAATCCAGTACTCAGTGCACTGCCTGACACATGAGGGACACACAGCTATTATTGCTGTCATTATCTCCATTAAAATTAACTGCACTGTCATTATTGTTATCATTGATCCTAGGTCTTATAGAACTTACATAAATTGCAGTTGTTACCATTTATGCTTTCAGTGTTTTAAAAATTCTTATTAAATGGAAATTCGCAGTTGAAATTTTTTATAGGGACCTGATGCTACTTTCAGTTAAAAACATAGAAGATATTGAGTGAATTATACATTATGAAAATTAAAGAGATCTAAAGCCAAACAATAACAAAAGAAGCTTTGGAGATTTTTCTTTTGCCATATCATTTTTAAGAGGGATGGAATTAAACATGTTATTGAATATATACGTTCTGTGTGTGTATGTGTGTGTGTGTGTGTTTATATATGCATTTGCCTCAATCTATGGTAAATTCATGCCTCTTGCTTGCTCATCACAGGACACTTGAAATGGACCAAAGCTGAGGACATTGACATAGAAACCCCAGGATCTATTCTTGTCAACACTAACTTGAGGGCATTAATAAATAAACATACATTTGCTTCCTTACCTCAGCATTTTCAACAATACCTCCTGCTTTTGCTCCCAGAAGTGGATAGGCAGGTAAGTAGAAGTTTTAGACATTTGATAATCAGTTGCAAGTTATATTATCATGAAGTGGCAGGTCTGTTAGTGAAGATGACTGATACATGGATGTAGTATATTCATATAATTTATTTAGGAATATATATTTATTGGTATCATTGGTTTATTTGTTTAATCTGCTAAAACAGAACCATTTATTCTCAATAGTGAGCCAATTCAAATTTTAAATGTAGTACGTTGCGGTAGAATGAAAACTACAGACTACCCACATTGGAAAGGGAAAACAAAGAAATCAAGCATTCCACTATCAAATAAATCTTTGGAGTAGCTGCTCCTCTGTTCAGATGGAAGATTGAAATGCAGCAATAAAAAGCCAGGGTCTCTAAGAAATTATGTAAATGTTTTTATCTTCAACTATTTCCAAAAGATATTTAAAATTTATGTTTGTTGTTGCTTTCTGAGAGTCTATCACCATGAATATGATTGCCTATAAATAATAACCTTTTATCATTTTTATTTTAGTATAACTGAAAATGCTTTAAGTGTATTTTTATATTTTGAAAAGCTTCTAAAATAAGGAAATACAAATATAGACCCATAATCGCAGACATCAATCATCTTCTAAAGCTACTTTCTTAGGAAAGAAAAGAAAAAAATTTACATAAACTTTTAATAAATTTTATAAAAATTATTAAATGGTATCTAGGAAACAATCCCTTATGATACTTATTTCAGTAAATTCTAACACTGTATATTGTTTCCAACTGATGGAATTAATGTATGTGTATTTATGAACTTGTGTCTTGAAATAGTAGGTACATCCATGAATTGAACAAGACTCATTCAATATTTTCATATTCCTTTGAATATTTTCATAGGAATTTTCAAATTTTTTATTTGATTCTGTCTTCTCCTAACTTACCCATCTCCTTTCATACATATTTAAATATGATAAGCAATAATTTGTAACAATTCCTATATATCTCTTTGGTGGTGATTATTGTGCAAATTTAGAAAAACATTCTTTTGATTTTGGGTATATTTTCATTTCACTAGGAATTTGCCTTCATTCAATAAAAATTTACATCATATTTCCTCTGACTATATGGTATGTTTTAGGTGCTTTGGGATAACAGAATCATAGTTAAGTGCTTATTAAATGCTTGCTGAATGATTAAATATACTCTAGTTGGATACATAAACTATATTTGTAAATAACCAATATATGAGGTAGAAGCGGGTAAGCTTAGGGGTAGGAAGTACAAAGTGTACTGTACTTTTATATGCAGATGAGAAAGATCAGAGAAAAATTTAACATTCTGAAATTGGACCTCAAGATACATGTAGAATTTGAATTAAATGGATGGAGAAGTACTAAGTGAACGGTCCAAAGGTACAAAATCAAAAACTAATTTTGTGGGAGTCTGAATTGTAAGAAGAACAGTAAAAATGGTTCTAGAAAGACGAAAGTAGATTATGGAAGATTCTTTGAGTATGAAGCTGAACAGTATACTCCCTGTGTCTGCAATACAAAGCCATAGAGGGCTTTAGAGCAGATCTATAATGTAATAGGACTGCTGCTTTTTAAGGAAATTATTCTGGCAGTACTGAAAGGGAATGATAGGAATGGAAAACATGAAAGTGGAAAGAATACTTAGAAAGTAATTTTAGTTGTTCTCAGAAGGCAGATGAGGGCTTGCATTGGAGGGATGGCATTGGAATTAAGGAGGAGGAAAATGCAGGCATTATCATCATCCTCATTGTCCTGGTCTTCTTCCTCCTCCAAGGGTAGCAATTTTACATTTTGTCGAATAACACTTGAAACAGGGTATCTATAGAGAGGAGCCATTGATGACTCTCAGTTACAAGCTTGTGTGACTGAGACTAGAATTCAGGTGTTAAAACTTTTGTGGGGGAGGGATTGATTTATTAGCTTATACAACTGTTTCCTCTGCTTCAACATATGTGTAGTTTATCTTGTTTACAATTCTGTCTCCAGCTCCAGGAATAAGGTTTAGCATATACGATATACTCAATCAATATTTTGGGGATGAAGAAATAACAAATTGTCCTAGATGTAGTGAAATATTTGGTAACTCAGGAGGCCAGAGTCTAAGCCCAGTATTTTATTCAACCTGTAGCAGTTTCTGTTACTCAGTTTTTTCCTAGTCACTGGGAGAAATATAAAGGAATAAGACACAATACCTGTCCTCAAGTAACAGTTTATTGGGAAATTATTTATTTTTTCAAGAAATATTTATTGAGCATGTATTGCATGCTGTATGCTTTATTAAATACAGAGGATACAAAAATGAATCTTGTGGAGGAATAAGAGCAACCTCATGCTGAAATATAATACACTGCTTACTACTAGCAAATAACTTTAATAACTGGATAGGTCTATACCAGTTAATTTAGTATTTAGTATAAGTATAAATTTAGTATAAGACCAGGCAGGGTCTCATAAATGTCATAACAGAAGTATAAAGAAAGTCCTCTGAAACATAGAGGATGAAGAAATTTAATCTGAATGTAGGATTAGAGAAGATTTAATGATAGAGAAGATGCTTAAGTTGAACATTAAAGGACTGGTAAGTGTTTCTTAAGTGCAGCCAAAGGAAATTGAATTTCACAAGAGAAGAGCATGCCATCTACTAAGACTTGTTGCTTATATGTTCCAGCAGATTCAGTGTTTCCATAAGACAGAAACAGCCTAGAAGGGGGGATATGGTGGTCTGATCTGCTGAGGGGGATTGTGGTCTACAAGCTTGATGACCTGGTTGCAGGCTTAGCTCTTTGAACTTTTTCTGAAATCAGTGGATACCATCAAAGATTTTTAAAATGAGAAATGACATGCATAGAATAATTTAAACAAATATCTTGGTGCCTGGACTTAGGGTAGGGGAATAAGATCCAAAGGATAAGTAAAATACAGTCATTGTTTTCTCTTAGGAGCCAATAGTCCTGCGAATGATGGATTGGACAGCAAAATGGTACAACACAGGGAAACTGGTTAAGAGACAATTGCAGTTGTTGAGAGATGAAGTAAAGGCCTCACCTTGGGTATTGACCTTGGAAATGGGAAAAAAAAAAAAAAAGGAATGAATTCCAGACTTATTTTCAACCCAGAATGACTAAGGATAAATGACAGATTGCATATGTGTTGGGGTTGCTAAAGGTCTAGAAGGCAATGAGAGATTTTATCTAGGGTGACTTGCAAAGACAGAGAGGCTCTGTAGGCCTGTCAGCATTTGATACCAAGAAATTTAGAGCTAGCACCCTCTATGTGGTTGAGATGGGCTCTATCCACTCTCTAGAAGAAAGGGACAAATGACTTGAGACAACAAGCTACCAGAACTGCTACTGTTTCACTCCAGCTTGTACATATCCAAGCTTGTACATATCCAAACGGGAATGAACACTGTTTCCTAGGCCAGAATGAGTAGAGAAGGCATGGAAATGTGAATCTGATTACATATATATATGTTGTGTTTTTTTTTTGAGTCACTGGAAGATCCTACAATTATGTGAAATACCTAAGAATTTAATTTTTTTGCAGGCTTGTCTTCACATAATTCTACAAGATTTGAAACTCCCAGCTTTCTTATTTCCCTCCTTTGACTACCCCAGGTTTCTACTTGCTTTCCAGCATGAAGCAGTCCTATAGGGTGTTCTGTTCTGGACTCATATCAAACTAGGATTCACTCCATTATTACATCCTTAAAATATGGAAAGGGAAACTTCCTATTTATCTTGCCAGTCCCAGCTGTTATTAGGCCAACCTCTCTGGGTGTTTGGCTTTCCTATATTTGTATTTTTTGTACTTTGGTACTTTTATACTTTTGATAGAGGTCTGTTTATCTTAGATTATACTTTTTACTTGCTCCTTCTTGTTTTATAACATCATGACATCTAGCTTTATATTTAATTTTACTCTTCACACATTGTGTACCATAAGTAACAGAAAATCCAACTCAAACTGACTTAAAAATAAAGGGGCTTTATTGGCTCAGTTAATTAGAAGATAGAGGCTTGGTTTGGCTTATAGTTGTTGGCTATTATCAGTTATTATCAAAGGTCAGTTATTATCAAAAGTTCATTTAATTATTATTTAAATCATTAATTTAAAAAAATCTCCCTTCTCATTGACATTATTTTAAACCTGAATCCCTTAGAGATAGGATGGCTGCCTGAATCAAGAAATGGGTCCTTGAGAAACTGGGTATGGTGATGTACACCTTTAGTCCTGGAAACTCAGGAGGATCACTTGAACCTAGTAGTTCAAAGCCAACCTAGGCAATACAGGAAGACCCTCGTGTCTTAAAAAAAAAGAAAAGAAAAGAAATGCAAACTTGTCTCTTGGTTCACATACATTGAGAGAATACTTCTGTACCAGTGTTTCAAACACAGGACCTAAGATTCACACTAATAATACTACTTAGATCACATGACCATTTCTTAACCCATTAACTATCATGTGAGTTATATTTAACTCATGCTAATTTTGAGACCTCATGAAGCATAAATAACTTATATGACTCTTCACCTTGGGAGCTGTGAGAACTATTTTTCAAATTGTTTATAACTCATGTAGAGAAAATAATCAAAAATAACAAATTTTTCATTAAATTAGAAGGGATCATTTTGTTTTCCAAGTTTTATTCTATTTTCCTAATAAAACATCATGGCCCCAAGGAAAAATTTTTTTATTTTTAGTGTGGCTATCAATAAGTTAAACAATGACTCTAACCAAGGAAATGATGTACACAAATTGACCTAAGCCAACTAGGCCTAGCTTGGAACTGAAAGTACATCCCCTGTATCCTAAATTAAATGGTGCACTCCTGGCAGAGGTAAGAGATAACAGTAAAAGTATCGTTTTTAGGAAGTTTTATTATGGGATATACTGTGGCAGGGTGGATACTTGGTAGGCATTTAGCAGTGCCCACTGAAATGGCACAGGAATTGAGTCCGGTTTTTAACATGTGGGGTTGAGATGCTTCTACTATATGAAATGT